ACGGAAGCAGCACGGGGCGAGAGGAAAGAAAGAGCAGCCACCTCACAGGAGCGGAAGAACTAGGGGAAGCTGGAGTCTGCCTCGGTTTCCCCAACTGCAAACAGCCGGCAACGGAAACGACGCTACTCGCACTGCGTTCCCCACTAGCACGGTGACCCGGAAGTCGGGGAGCGAGGCAACGGGAACGCCTTACCTAAGACACTGCCCGCCCTGCCCCGCCCCCGACCTCCTCTGATTGGTCCGTGCTCCACCAATTGCCAACGCCGAAAGAAGGTCGCGCAGAGTTGCTTTGGCGCGCGCGTGCAAGTATTGAAGGGACGCTAGACGGTTCCCTAGCAACGGCTACCTGGAGGCACGCCCCGCCCCGCAGATTGGTCTCACCTGGCGCTGCTCTGGATCCTTCTCTCGCGGTCTTTTGAGCAAGTTGACACCGTGTGCGGCTTCTACACCCCAGGCGTGGAAGTGCTTTTGATAGCTATCATTGCGCTTTCACCTACATTGAATCTTCATTCCGTGTATTTTCCACCTACCGTTCACATATACGGAGGACCGACTTAAATTCTACGTGGATTTTCTACTGTATATTGGACTCCAACCCCACGTTCAAAGGTCAGCTGTAATTATGAATGATCCCACTTTACGGATGAGGAAACAGAACGTTTAATAACTTGCTCGTGGCTAATCAGTGGCAGATGAGAGTCCTATATGTTGAGGAAAGAAGTGTGGACTTAGTACTATAATAATAAACATCTAACAGTTAATTCATCAAACATTTATTCCTTAACTGGTTGTTTTTCTTGACAAAGAAATGTATGTACTGATTTTAAAAAGTCTCATCTCTTAATTTAAGCATTTGTTGTTTGCCTGTTATGTACCAGTCAGGGTTCCAAAAGGTAGTCTCACAGTAAATAAACACAAATATTTATCGCCAGGTGGTCCTAAAATAAGGCGTATGGGGAAGGGAGTTTTTACATACAGGTAGTCAGGGGAGTCTCTGTGTTAAGGTGACATTTGAGCAGTGTCCAGATGAAGTAAGGCAGTGAACCTTATGAGTGTGTTCTATTCTAGGCACTAGAACGGCAAGTTCAATGGCCTTGAACCAGGAAGATACTTTGTAAATTGGAGGAATAGCAAGAAGGCCAGCGTGGCTGGAGGAGAAAGAAGGGAAACGCAGAATGTAAGTACAAAGGACAATTTATATTGAAAAATACTCCCCACCTACACACACACACACACACCCAAGACTCCTGATCCTTGAGCCCCCTTGCTCAAAAACAACCAGTATTAGTTTCTGGTTTAAACCTCCAGGAATATTCTATGTAAATGTGTATATGTATATTCCCTTCATCCCCTTGTTAACACACATTAAAGCAGCAAAACACAATTTTCCACACCTCAACAAACATTTTTTAAAAGGTACTAATTGTAAAACACTAGACATGTGAAGCTTGCATAAGCCATTATCCCCACTCCATAGAAGCAACTGATAGTCAACTTGGTAATGAAATATGGACATATAATAATAAAATCATAGAATCTTAGGTCTTGAAAGGAACTTGAAGATCACCTCATTGAATATTTTTATTGCACATAAGATTCAGAAAGGCAAAGTATACAGCCAATTTGGCAAATTAAGAAGTAGAAACTAATTTCTGTTTCAGGGGTCTTTGCGTTAGTTCATAAGACCTTTGTGAAATAGAAAGTGAGATAATCCTGTCGTAAAGTGATAGAATCCTTTTACCTTTCAATGTGCTGTACTGACGGTAGGGAGTGCAGAGAGCTCTTCTTATCTTCATGCTGCCTGTTGGCCCACTTCAATCATGTTTTTCTCCAAGAGAAGAGACTGCTAGCCTGTTTGGTCAGAACCTGAGAAGTGAATTGAACTGCACTTATTGGAAGCAGGGTCCCTGTACATTAAATTGTCATGTGCATGTGACTGCCTAATTTGCATGTAACTGGCAAATATATTAGACCAGATCTGTCCCTCTGGGAAGATTGACTTTCTCTCTTTCTCTCGTATTCTCAGATTTCCTTCTTCCATGTAGCTTGGCTTAATGGTGGTTAAGTCCTAAGCTTAGAATTCTGGCTTCAAGAAAAAGGTGGGACCTACTTAGGTCTCTAACTAAGCTGTGTGCTTTTACCTGGTCTTATCATGGAAAACAAAGGCTGCAGCCCACTGGAGTTTGGTAATATTTTTGAGTAGTACTGAAGAGTCCCTGCTTTCTTGGATTATCACCGAAAACAAACGAAGACACTGTTGATTTTAGAAGCTGCTTAATAGAAAGGGTTATTAGTATGGCTGTTAATCAACAACTTCTTGCAGTGTTCAGCATTTGATCCATAGAGAACCCAAGTTAAATATTAATGCCCCCTTTTGGAGTTTGTAAAGTCTGGAATGCAGTGAATTTATACTGAGAAATGGGTTTCCTCTGTGGAAGCATTAAAAATATTAAGGACAGCCCTAACCAGTTTGGCTCAGTGGATAGAGTGTCAGCCTGCGGACTCAAGGGTCCCAGGTTCAATTCCGGTCAAGGGCATGTACCTTGGTTGTGGGCACATCCCCAGTAGGGAGTGTGCAGGAGGCAGCTGATTGATGTTTCTCTCTCATCGATGTTTCTAACTCTCTATCCTTCTCCCTTCTTCTCTGTAAAAAGTCAATAAAATATATTTTAAAAAAATATTAAGGACAGTGGCAGCCTTGATTAATTTATGCTGATTTGCATTGCATTTCCCTGAAACCATGTTAGGCACTGATTAGGGGGAACTCCTCATGTTTAGGTATGATTCTTTCAACGGGAGAATGGTGAAATATACAGAATGCCAAGGCAGATTTGTTCTCACAGCCACTGGTAATGGGCTTTACAAATGAAAGTTTAAGCTATTCAGAATTAAGTTATGGGCTGGGGTGGAACTGGTAACCAGAACAAAGAAAATAAACATTGAATCAGGTAGAACTACTTATGATTGGTGGTGTTTTTTTGTTTGTTTTAAAATATATTTTATTGATTTTTTACAGAGAGGAAGGGATAGGGATAGAGAGTTAGAAACATCGATGAGAGAGAAACATCGATTCAGCTGCCTCCTGCACACTCCCTACTGGGTATGTGCCCCCAACCAAGGTACATGCCCTTGACCAGAATCGAACCTGGGACCCTTGAGTCCTCAGGCTGACGCTCTATCCACTGAGCCAAACCGGTTAGGGCGGTGGTGTTGTTTTTTAAGTCAGAGGATAAAGGGGAATAGAGAAGCAGGACAATTAACAGGGCCCCTACAAAGGGTTTGGTGGCACATTAATTATAGCTGAGATGAGGGAAGCCCACTCTAGCTTCTGCATCCACCTCACCTAGGTTTACGTATCAGATCTGCTCCGGTTATCCCAGCCTGCATGAGTTTAAAGCCAGTGATGTTGAAGGGAAATAAGGTATGTTTAGCTCAGGGTAGTGATTTTAATTCAACTATTAATGTTGTGGGAGAAAAGGGCAATCAACTTGAGGGTCAAGAAATCTTTACTTGACCCCAGGTCAGAGGTCTAAGATTGTATGATATAGTCAGTGTTGAGTGGCAGAGGCACCACAACATTTTGAAGGACTATTTGGCAAACTATAAAACATATATATAATGGGCAGTGGCCCACGTATGCTTCTGAGACCCTACCATTCGAACACATTCACACATAATTTTAGAAGTTTCTGACACCAGAATACACACAAACGGGAGGCTTTGAACGAAACATAATACCGCCACCTTGTGGCTACCACTGGGATGTTTAGACTCAAAAAGTTCCTGATGATGGTGCTAGAGAGCTAGTTTGCCAGCATGAAAACATTTCCCATAACTTAAGAGTGGCAAAGTATATTGAGATCTGAACTACCTATGATACGATATGGAAAATATCAGAAGGAGATCGTTATAAAGAGGATGCTGCACAAGAAAACTCTCAAATAAAATGGAATTTGTTTCTTGAGCGGTATCTCCGAAGTGTTATAACACACAGATGAGCAGGTAGCATCTCTGCTTTAGAGCTAATTTGCAGTTGACTTCTGTTGCTGAACAGTCGAAACCTCAAAACTCTCCACTAAAATAAAACACATTTCTTGGTTTATCCATGAGAGCTAGTGTACAGTAGAATCTCCATTAAAAAGTCACCTACTCTTTGTTCGATGGGCAGTAAATAAGTCAATGCAATGGGCCAAGTTGAGAGCAATATACATGGCAGTGAATGAATAACTTAGTTCTGTGCCTCAGGGCAAGGTTTCAACATTTAAAGAGTCACAGGCAGTAACCTATATGAGAATATTGGTGAGTAAAGATTAAGAATAGCCCCAGTGTAGGGGATGCAATTGTGGGAAGCCCTAAGGAACTTCCAAGAGAGGGTCATAGTGGGCCACAGAGATGCCCACATCAAGGATTGAGTTGGTTCAAGAAGAGCAGTGAAATGTCAGGCTGATGCCCTGCCATTCCCTAGAAGTAGCCACCTCGGTAATTTCAGTGAGGACAGTGGTGCCAAAGGCATGCGGTAGTGGTGGAGTAAGGATGTATATCACTTGTCTTTTAAGTCAATATGGTAAGAGACTGTTGAATACTAATAACAACACCAAAAAAGTAGCCATTTAAAGATGACATTTGGAATAGTTTCCTGGGCACAGGGATCCAAGCCTATAAACCAGTGAACTATATAGGATTACTATTTTCAGTCCCTAGAGGAGTCAGATGAGTTTGACATTTATTCTATCTTGGGCGAAAGTCCAAACCCTGTCAAGGCTATCTGTTCCCTGTCATACATCTCTCTGGACCAGCGGTTCTCAACCTGTGGGTCACAACCCCTTTGGGGGTCAAACGACCCAAGGGTCGCCTAAGACCATCGGAAAACACACACATAATTACATGTTGTTTTTGTGATTAATCACTATGCTTTAATTATGTTCAATTTGTAACAATGAAATTGGGTTCACCACAACATGAGGAACTGTATTAAAGGGTTGCGGCATTAGGAAGGTTGAGAACTACTGCTCTGGACCAAAGAATGCATCCCACACCCCAGTGTGCAGAAATAGGCTCCCCAAATCCCAACGTGACATGAACATAGTGTATTCCTTACCATCTATAAAGTAGTTATTAACTTGATACTAAAACTGGTAACTGAAACATTATTGAAAATACAGTGTGAAGATATGGAGGGCTGACCGGATCACTTAGGTCCGTGGTCGGCAAACCTCGGCTCATGAGCCACATGCGGCTCTTTGGCCCTTTCAGTGTGGCTTTTCCACAAAATACCACGTGTGGGCGCGCACGTACAGTACGATTGAAACTTCGTGGCCCATGCGCAGAAGTCGGTATTTTGTGGAAGAGCGGTATTTTGTGGAAGAGCCACACTCCAAAGAGCCGCATGTGGCTCATGAGCCGAGGTTTGCCGAGCCGCAGTTTGCTGACCACTGACTTAGGTGAATGTGTTTTGTTCAAATATGAGAGGAACTAAAGGGGGGACGGTTTTAACAAAGGACATGAACCAACCATTCCCAATTTTGTGGCTTAAAACAATAACTTATTTCTTGTGATTCGATGGGTTGTCTGGTATCAGCGAGGCAGCTCTGCTAGTTTTATGTGGGGTCCCCACATAGCTGTGTTCATTTAGAGCTCGGCTGGTGCTGGAACGTCCAAGATGGCCTCTCATCCTTGTGTCCCTCTCCACGTAGTCTCTAAGCATTCGGTAATTTGGATTGGACTTCCTTACAGCATGGCAGTTGGGCTTCAAAAAGGAGAAGGTAAAAGATGTCAGTCCTCTGAAAGCCTGGCTCAAGAGTCCCAGAACATTCCTCCCCTACTTTCTATTGATCACAAGTGATAAGGTGGGTGACAGGCTCCACTCTACTTGTGAGCAGCAACATGCACAGATGGAAGAATTGTTGAAGTACCACAGTTTCCCTAAGGAAAATTTAAGTGCTATTACCATGGGAAGGACAATTAAACCAAAAAAAACCCAGCCCTTGTTGATCCGTGTTGGACTACTTGTCTGTACCACATTCCTGTGTCTGTTCATCTAGTTGTTGGATTGTAAGCTCTGCTTGCTGGAAGGGACATCCTCAATTTGTCTTCTGTAGGCCTTTTCATTCAGGGGAAAATCCTAGAAGCTTATTAGCTCTTTTCCCACTAATCAGGCTAGTCTTGGTACATTCATGAGTATAAGAGACAATTTTTTTCATTGAATTTTTTATTTTATTTGGAGGGCATAGGGTGGGATAAATGGTGATGGAAAAAATAAGAGGCAAATTTTGTACATATTGTTAACTTCTGGAATATAAAGGGCAAGGGGACATAATAGATTCCCCTACACTGGTGGTGGAGGATGTGGTGTTTTTATTAAATAAGTACTATCTTGGGATGGTTTGGGCATTTTTCTAAGTATAACCTATGCTTCTATTGGAGTGCTATCATGCAGTGATTCTCAAATATAGTTCCCAGGGTGGGAGCAGGGTGGAAGGAATCAATGAGAGAAAAAAGGAGACATCTGTAATACTTTAAGCAATAAAGATAAACTAAAAACAAACAAACAAACAAAAACAAAGTGTAGTTCCTGGGGCCCGCAGCATCAGTATCATTTGGGGCTTGTCAGAAATGCAAAATTTGGGGTCCAGCCTTAACCTACTGAATCAGAAACTCTGAAGATGGGCCCAGTAATCTGTCTTTAACAAGGTTTCCAGATGATTCTTGTGCATACTAAAGTTTAGCGACAGCAGTCATAGATGGTCCATAAAAATCCCTTTTGATACTGTCATTTTCCTGAATTGTGCTCAACAAATGGCACTCACTTGGTACAGATGGCTTATTTCTAAGTAATTTGAAATAGAAATAGGGGCCAAGACAACTGACATTTAATCAACAGTCATTATCTTTCAGATTGTTTTCTCCTTCAGGATCCTGCCTATATAGGAGACTAGAAAAATCTGTCCTCATTGTTTACTTTTCTGTGCTACTAACAGTTATGAGACCAGTGTTTAGATCCGGGTTAACTAAAGAAGCCTAAGGGCTGTGATGCTGGTAGTATCCCCAGAGGCCACTCTTCCCATTTCTATTATTTGAGCAAATATTTATCTTTAGCCTGGTAATTCTCTACTTCCCGTGGTCTGAATGTGACACTAAAGAGCAAATCATGAAAGGGAACTCTGAGGGTCTTTGAGAATGCTACTGTTGTCTAGCTACTGGATTGCTGGAGTGATATTTATTATTGGCTTCAGTGGTACTGCAGTGAGTACAGTGATTGGTTGCAACTGTAGCTCAGTTGTACCACAGGCTGTGTTTCAGTCAGTACCTTTGATCTGTAACATGCCCTGAAATGTGCAGTGGGGAATCCTATATAATAAAAGCCCAATATGCAAATTGTCCCCTCGATCGGTCATTTGACCAGGAGTTCAACTGGGAGACCGGGAGTTCGACCGCTCGCTATTATGTGTGCTGACAACCAGGGGGTGGCACGGAACATGGCGGGCGTCGGCCACGCGGTGCTGGCAGCAGGCAGCAGTGGAGGCGCTGCAGGCCATGATGTGCCCCAACGAGAGCGGGCCTACCTGTGCATGAATTTCGTGCACTGGGCCTCTAGTATGATATAAAAACTTATCATATAAAAAGTGTCTTTCTCTTCTAGGGGTTTATCACATGGCAGAGGAAATAAAATATGTGCATAACAATTAAATATGATGCAGATTGAGTGCCCTGAGAGAGGATTTGAGTGTTACAAAGAGTTCAAAGAAGATAGTGATCCCTTGGTGGATGGAGACCAATGAAGGCTTCATGGAGGAAGTGGCATTTCAGCTGAATCTTTGGTAGGTAGGAATATGAGTGTGTGGGGAGGGCAGTTCATGTCTGAGCATGAGGAAGAAGCTGGAGTCAAGAACCAGCAGGTGACTGTATCTCTAGCACCTATTCAGTGACTGACACACAGTAGGTGCTCAATAAATATCATGTGTTCTGTCTGACTCATAGACGGACCATTGGCTGACTAGCAGATTTTGGTTTTTCCTTTCTTTGGAAAAAGACAAAAGAAGAAGATATAATCTTACAAAATGTAAAAATCAACTCAAAGATATACTGATTTCAGATACATTAAGGTGTGAGAGCAAAGTGCTTTTTTGAGTCTTAAAGGCAGCTGAAAATGTGAAACTGGAGTTCAAGTTAGAGAACAAAACATTATTGATTTTGGAGATAGCTTTGTGCTGAATAGCTTCCTTCCCCCACCTCACTCTAGCCTACAACTTTCTCTACTCTGCTCCAGAGCCCAGGAGGCAGGCTTGTATGCTCTAAGACAGTGATGGCGAACCTTTTGAGCTCGGCGTGTCAGCATTTTGAAAAACCCTAACTTAATTCTGGTGCCGTGTCACATATAGAAATTTTTTGATATTTGCAACCATAGTAAAACAAAGACTTATATTTTTGATATTTATTTTATATATTTAAATGCCATTTAACAAAGAAAAATCAACCCAAAAAATGAGTTCGCGTGTCACCTCTGACACGCGTGTCATAGGTTCGCCATCACTGCTCTAGGACATCAAGCTGGACTTCCTTGCTTTCTGGCTTCCCTTAGAGCTTAGCCAAAGTGAAGACTGGCAAGAGTCTGACGGGAGGCGGGAGGATACGGTGGATGTATTTATTTCTCCCAGTTCCCTATTTGGGGAGCTGGCTGGGTCACTGCTCAACTGAAGGCCACAACTCCTGGCCACTAGCTCACGAGGAAATGGCTTATAATGACAGGGTGGTGTGTGTGCGAATCTTTATTCCTCAAAGGGCCAGAAACCAGCCCAGTGGTGCAAGGCTGGTTTGAAGTAGAATCCATTTTACCAGGCACTGCCAGTGAGTCCCACACAGGAATAGAGCGATCAGAGTGGAGAACCCAAATAGAAAAACATGTTTAAGGAGACTGGAGAGAGTCTCACCCTTTTGACGTTCACCTAGTGTTTCCCAGCCTTGACTGAAGGTCTGAGGAACTCCCACCTTGAACTTGGGAGACCTCAGCAAATCTCCCTAGGGCTGCTGCTCATCGTAGACATAGCTTTTTCTTTCATAAAAGTTGACTCCCTGCTCCTTTCCTGGATAGGGGGTACCAACCGATAAAACATAAAGGTAAGGGGATTAAACTAAATCATGTGGGGTTGATCACGTCCCACATGAACATTTAAGCCATTGAAGTCATTTGGACATGTGATGGTTACCATTTAAGGATAATCAGCTGAAAGTAAAGATACATATTTTCTGTAGGAATTTTTGAAATCTATGTATAAGATTTGAGGAACCATTTGCAGCTGTGTAACCTGAGATCCTATATGGAAACTGTTTAGCCCAGAGTCTGGCACAAAAGTCACTCCTACAGGAAGATAAAGTGAGTTCCTGAGCCCTCACCACGTGTCAGCCCCATAGCTTGTCATTTAACTAACCGCAGCCCTACAACCTTCGGATTCTAAGTGCTGAGCAGACTCGGGAGGCGACGGGTGCAGAGTTCTCTTAGGGAAGGGAGCTCCCAAGGGGTGGGTGTGCCGGGGTCCCACGGACACCGTGGGGAGGGTGCGCAGGGGCGCGCGTCC